TTTATAAAAAACCCCCACGTCTTCTTTATCCAGTGTCTAGTTGATGGGCACTTCGGCTGTTTCCAAGCTTTAGCTATTATGAACTGTGCAAGCAGAAGAGTCTTAAACCATAAAAGGAAGAGAAAATTTGTTAGGCTTTCTGTCCAAAGATATCTTGGTGCCCCTCAATATATCCATGAAGTGACTTAAGTGCTGGTTCAGGTTCATGGGAAATGGCTGTGGGAAATTGAGGGCCTTTGGCATGACCGCATAGCTAAACTATTATACCCTTCAAACAATAAGAAACCCTACACAAACAATAAGAAAGCTCTATTTAATGTACTTGTTAGTAATATGCCTAATAAGAAATGGTGACTATTTTAATTCCAGGTTTCTGAATTTTCAGATACAATGCCCTGTGGTTAAAGCAAGACCTTTTGGATCCTGACAAGAAGAACCAAATATAGAAGTCACAACAAAAAAGAGAAACCAAAAAGAAAGCTGAGCTCTTTCTTGGCTGTATTTTCATGGTGGTTTGGATGCAGAACTGCTGATGTTCATGATGTCTTCATCCAGAGCACTACCACTGGGTTTTAGAAGGAGATAACTTTATGGAATAAATATTTTTTTATTTCAATTTCCCTGTTATGAACAGAATGGCTTTAATGGAAAGTCTTGAACTGATGAAGAGCTTTAGAGTTTGTAAAGGAAGTTCACATGACATCTCTAATCCTTAAGAGGAATCCATGTTTGTTTTTGTTTTTGTGGTACCGGGGATCGAACTTGGGACCTTGTGCTTTAGAGGCAGATGGCAGAACCACTGAACTAAATCCTCAAAGTTGGAATCCATAAGTTTGTTGGGGACTGTGTATCTTTTTAAACCAGGTTCTCCTAAGCCCAAATACTGGCATGGGTGGGACAAAAAGGGCTCTGTTTATAGAAACTATTCTCTAGATTTCATCGTACAATGGAGATGCATGGCCAATTGGAAACTCTCCTGCCCCACTCTAGAAAGTCTCCTGTGGATTTTTCATGTAAGTTCACAAAGCAAAAGCTGATACTGAGGCAGGAGTTTAGGGCATGGCAGGCTACCTGGAAAGCTGGATACAACCTGAAAATTACAAAGAACTGGAAGGGAGGCAAAACAGCAGCATGTAACTTGTCAATCAAGGAAAGCTGTCAAGACATGTACAGACAGCTTCAGATGGATTGGATCTGAACAGATATAAAAGACAGCAATGACCGACTTCAGAATTGCTGCTGTCTTCCTGTTTCTGCAGTGGCTTGATTTGCATGCAGAATATATCTCTTCTTGAATTTCTCTTTTTCTTTATGTTTTCATTTTTTCTTTTACTTTAAATAAAAGTTGTATTTTCACATTTATCAACTGTCCTGGCCAATTCATTGGGCAGGATAACAAGAGCCTAGAACCACTGGACACCAATCCATCTGGTGACAATATGACTCTCAGTCATCATGAGCATATTTATTTATTTATTTATTTATTGTACCAGGGATCAAACTCAGGACCTTGTGCTTGTGAGGCAGACAGTGGCACCACTGAGCTAAATCCCTGGCCCCATGAGGGTATTTATTTTGAAAGCTTGTCCTTTCCTCTATCTTTCATTTTTT